CTGCGTTCTTGTGTTCTGCGATGCGGGCATTTATTCTCCTATTAGTTTGTCCAATGTATGTGGCTGGGCAGATTTTGCATGGTATTTCATAGACTCCTTGGTTTTCTAGCTGGATCCTGTCTTTGGGGTTTCTTAAGATGTTGGCTATTTTTTGGTCGGTGCCAAAGGCTGTCTTGATATTGTGTTTGTGGAGAATTTTGCTGATTTTATCTGTGGTGCCTTTGATGTAGGGGAGGAGGGTGATGTCGTTGTACTGTTCTATGTCTCGGTTCTTGGGGGGTGTTTCCCTTTGGATTAGGTTGGTAATTGTATTTCTTTGGAATCCGTTGGAGATTAGTACATTTGTGAGAATGTGTAATTCAGTTTTCAGGTGATCTTTGTCGGCTAGGCGTTTGGTTCTGGAGATGAGGGTCTTGGCTACGGAGTTGATCTGTGCAGGGTGGTGGTGGGATTGTGCGTTTAAGTAGCGGTTGGTGTGTTTTTTTTCCCGGTAGATGGTGTGTCCTAGGGAGCCATTGGGTTTTTTGTAGATTAGGACGTCCAGAAAGGGGAGTTGGTTGTTGGCTTCTATTTCCATCCTCACACATCTCAACAGCCTACACCCCAAAATATAATTCACGATGGAAATAGAAACCAACAAAGAAGAAGAAAAATATTTGTAATCCAATTCTGTTTGTGAGGCTCACTTCCAGAGCAGTTGTCCAAAATCCAAGATTATCACTCAGTCAAAATTTATAATCCACAAGGTCCTACTATTCAAAATTAATAGTCCATAGGGCCTCCTCCAAAGAAATCATCAACAGTTAAGCTTCCACTGTCCTTAAGAAGCTCTGAGATTAAAAGTTTATAATCCAATAGGCTCCCCAGAAAACAAGAAGAGAAAAAAAAATAAAAACAAAAGGGAAAAAAATGGGAAGAGGGAAAAAAAGTTTATAATCTACTTCTATCTTCTGACTCCAGCTCTGACCAATTGTCCCAAAATCCAATGTTGCCAATCTGCCAAAATTATAATCCAAAATGTCTTACTGTAGATAGTTCCTTGCCATTCAGTCTGTCTCTAAATAGTTTATAAAATTACAGGTCAAACAATATTTGTAATCCAAAGAAGCCAGATGGCTTCAAAATAGTTTGTAGTTTTAGTTGCAATCTATCCTGCAGAAAAGACAGCCCAAAAGGTTTTTCTCTTTTTTCAGCTGCAATCTACAAGGTTATGAAGTTCAGAAACATCAAAAGGTTTAGTCTGTTATCTATGTCTGGGCTTCAGGCCAAGTTCCCTCACTCCAGACAAAATATAAATAGAGCTTGGTATGGTTCTTTTTTTCCCCCACCACTAAATATCCATTTTGTAATTTTCCAACCAAAAAAGGTTTTTTTCCCTTAAGTTTTGCTCTGATACTCTCCAAAAAAGGTAAAAAAAGGAAAGAAATTATAACTCCCCAAACTTTTTTCTTTCTATCATGTCCAAATTAATTTTATAGTCTCTCTATTTTCCCCCAAGAAAGCTTAAACCACCGCTTTTATTCTGGGAGAGGGGGTGGAAAAAGAGAAAACCCCTCCCTTTAGTTCTGGGAGTTTCCTTGCTTTCAGAACTTTTTTTCCTCAAGAACAGGTTTTAAAATTGTAGAGGAAAAGGAAAATAATCTCACTCAGATTCAACCATGTTGCTCGCACTTGTTAAATACTGCTTTCTTTCTCTGGAGGTCAGCAACTTCTGACTGGCTGCATGGGTGCAGCCAGTCTTTCTCCTGTCGGTTCTGAGGGCTTCCTTGGATCAAGTGGGTTGACCTCCATCTTCCTGTGATGTTTCATCGCCTCTCCGGGGCGACTTAAGGCCCTTTTGGGGGCCCCAGATGGAAGAAATTGGGCGTGGGAGGCAGAGCCCTGCTTCCCTACATCCGTATCGCCGCGATATCAAAACCGGAAGCTTGGGACATGAATTTCTATTGCTAAGCAAGG